TGAGGCAACAGGGTCAGACTGAGGCAACTCTAGAATGACAAAGGCTCATTCAACTAAAAATGAATTCTAATCTGGGGTGACACTGAAGGTCCAAATTTGGACCCTGAGACCATTACAAAGACAACCTGAACTGAGTCAAGTATGGATTTATTCTAATCTCCTTGGTCCCTCCAAATGAAGACTGATCAGACTGGGCTAGAGACAAGATCTATAAGGACTGACATTAGTATCCCTCACCAGACTCGGCACAGATTTAAGTACCAATATAATATATACTAAAGAAATAAGTAGGCATTCATGTTAATAAATCATAGAAAATCTCTTTTCTGAAAGCAAGCACTTATCTCCTACAACAGCCCAATAATTCAGCAGATATAGTTTCTGAGAGCCTATATCTAGCTAGCACACCCAAGATTATGATGCTAAGGATACCAAGACAGGTGCTAATAATCAATAAAATAAATTTTTCCATTTGGAGTCTCACTCTGTCGTCCAGGTTGGAGTGCAGTGGCACGCTCATGGCCACTGTAGCCGCAACCTGCTGGGCTCAGGTGATCCTTCTGTCTCAGCCTTCCAAGCAGCTGGAACTACAGGCATGCTTGCGCCACCACATCCGGCTAATTTTTTAAAATTTATTTATTGTAGAGATGAGGTCTCACCAAGTTGCCCAGGCAGTCCTCTCACCTCAGTCTCCCAAAGTGCTGGGATTATGGCATGAGCCACCACACCCAGCCAAAAGAAATTTTTTGAAGTACTGATCAACATAGAATTATTAACACACATTCCTGCCTTGTAATGTGTAAGCAAAAGTGAAATGGAAGTCCTTTGTGAGCAAACAAGTGCTTTCAAGGGTAACATAATCAAATTAAAACCTTATTCATTAATGACTCTGGGACACTAACAGCATACACACTGAATCTTAATTTGGTCACCAAAATTTAGTCTGCATCAGTTTCCAAGGCTTTCATCAGAGTTGGTCTAATCTTTGCGATACTTCTTATCCCATTTCTATTTCAAGTATTATTAATAGGCCCCCTGGAGCTTGTTATCCTTGACTCAAGCACCTCATGGTCTCAGGAAAGGCTGCCAAGAAAGAAATTCTCAAAGTCAAAAGTGGTATCCAAGCACCACAACCTCTAGCGCAAATCATCTACGGTGACCTTGTGGGAGTAAGAGAAAAATTGCCCCCAGTATTATCTGGGGGTTTCTTCTCACATGCCAAGATGATAATCCACAGTTGGTCAAGTGGTCATGGCCAAAAGAAAGAATCCAGATAGTTCACGCCATGATTGTATAACAGATGGATATTTTAACCAAATAATTCAGATACTTGTACCATTCACGCTCCATTTCACAGTTGAAAAATCAGTTGTAAAGTAGGTGGTTCAGCTACTGGTGGCTCCAGACTCACATTTTAAAAATAATCTTTTTTATATACCTTAAGAGTTCTCCAGATCTTAAAGAAACATATTATAACTCTTCGGAAACTGGCTTGAAAGAGTTCCTAAGCCAATAAAATCTCCTTGTCTTGATTCAAAAGAGGGTTTCTCAACAGAAGACCTCAAATCTTTGAGCAGCTTAATCTTTAGCTGAAATTGTCTAGTACTGAGTATACCTGTTCAGTTCAACTCGTTGCCAGGTCTGTAACTAAGGAGGAATGCCTATATTGCATTTCAGGTGTTAAAAAAAAAAATCCCATAGCTATCATCCCCTTCTCCTATTTCAAGGGATTACTGAATGTCAAGAGTGTAGTACTGAGAGATGTTGCACTTCACAATCTAGGGTGGTGGTGAAGAGAAAGGAAAGGAACCAAGGTGGTCAGCCTTGGGAGAAGGGCTCAGAAAAGTATGGTATGAGAAGGAGATCTACCATGACCTCAAAGAAGGAGCTTTTCTCAGGGCGATATTAAAACATGTATGATAAGAACCACATTCAGCTAGTAGTATCACCTTAAAAGAAACAAGGCTACTGAGTTACACTAAGAAAACTATGCTTTGATAGAATAGTGATTCAAAAACAGAACACATCAACTAGAAAGTTGAATTCTATTTCTCTATCCTCTATAAACCCATTAAATGATTTCTTCCAGAATCCAGATCTCAATCTCCTGCATCCCAAATACATCTGAAAAACAAGAACCCCTTTCTAGAAAGTTCAGAAATTTAAAGTTTAAAATTTAATTAAAACTTAATATGGTTCTCCTAGCTTCTATCTTATTTTATATTCAGTTCCTTATTAAGTAGGATATAGAGCGCTAGAATTTAAATCTAAAAACTCCATGCCTATGGGCAACTTCACTCCCTTCTAATTTAGCACAGGCAACAATTTTCTAAATTTCAGTTTCTTCATCTATAAAATGGGAATAACAACACTTCCTGCCACACCTACTTTAGAGGATCACTGCTGAGACTCACATGAGGTACGACATATGAAATAATTTTTTATTTTTATTTTTATTTTAAAGATGTGGAGTATAATTCAGGGATAGGTATACAAATGGTCATTGTGCAGGAAACGTTTGGGCCTCCCATTGGTCCTCAGTTTGAGATCAGGTACCCTTATTGATGAAGTGTGTCCACCGGAAATAATTTTTAAATAGCAAAGCACTATACAAATATAGATTACTACCTTAAATGGGCACTGTTATGAGAAAAAAAAAAAGGAACACAAAATAGGGTAAAGCCAGGAGTGTTGACTCACACATGTAATCCCATAACTTTGGGAGGTTGAGGCAGGCGGAGTTCAAGAGCCCAGGCTTCAAGAGCAGCCTAGACAACATAGTGAGATCTCGCCTCTACAAAATGTCAAAAAATTAGCCGGGTATAGTGGCACCACCTATAGTCCCAGTTACTAGGGAGGCTGAGGTGGAAGGATCGCCTGAGCCCAGGGGGTTAAGGTTTTGGTGAGCCATGATTGTGTCACTGCACTCCGGCCTAACCAACAGAATGAGACCTCAACAACAACAACAACAAAAGTGAGAGAAGGCCGGGCTCGGTGGCTCAGCCTGTAATCCTGCGCCTTTGGGAGGCTGAGGTGAGTGGATTGCCTGAGCCCGCGGGTTCGAAACCCACCTGGGCAGCGAGACCTCATCTGTACAATAAATCAAAAAATCAGCTGGGCGTGGTAGTGCATGCCTGTAATTCCGGCTACTTGGAAGGCTGAGGCGGAAGGATCGCCAGAGTCCAGCAGGTCGAGGCTGCGGTGGCCAGGAGCGGCCACTGCACTCCAGTCTGGGCGACAAAGTGAGACTCCAACTCAAAAAAAAAAAAGTGAGAGAAGTATCTGGCCGGGCGCAGTGGCTCACACCTATAATCCCAGCACTTTGGGAGGCTGAGGTGAGAGGACTGCCTGAGCCCATGGGTTTGAGACCAGCCTGGGCAACTTGGCCAGACTTCATCTCTACAATAAATCAAAAAATTAGCAGGGCATGGTAGTGCGCACCTGTAGTTCTGGCTACCTGGAAGGCTGAGGCAGAAGAATCACCTGAACCCAGTGGGTCAACGCTGGGGTGGCCGTGAGCGTGTCAAAGCACTCCAGCCTGGGCGATGGAGTGAGACTCCAACTCAAAAAGAGAGAGAGAGAGAGAGAGAGAGAGAGAGAGAGAGAGAGAGAGAGAGAGAGAGAGAGAAGCTTCTTCCACCTGAAAGAGTAGAATTGCAAGCACAGTGAGAAGTAATATGCTATTAGCTAAATGTATTTAGGGAAATGGTCTGACATAAAGTTGAACTATTATTTAGAAGTAGATTCTCATTCAAACACATTCACTTCGCACAGACAGCAGAAGTAGAAAAATAAGAAAGCTTAAGAGTGGGTGTCAGCCAGGCTCCATGGCTCAGCCTGTAATCCCAGCACTTTGGGAGGCCAAGTGAGTGGATTGCCTGAGGCCGCGGGTTCAAGACCAGCCTGGGCAACTTAAGAGACCTTGTCTCTACAATAAATCAAAAAGTTAGCCAGGATTAGTAGCCCACGCTCGTAGTTCTGGCTACTTGGAAGGCTGAGGCAAAAGGATCACCAGAGTCCAGCGGGGTTGATGCTGGGGCGGCCATGAGCATGCCACTGCACTCCAGCCAGGGTAAAGGAGTACGACTCCAACTCAAAAAAAAAAAGAGTGGGTGTCCAGCTCTCAGCGCCCCAAAATAGCTGATGAATTTCCACTCGGGGAGAGAGAGCATACTTAAGTTATGATAGTCGATACAGAATATTGTTGCATAAGGTGAGAGAAGTAAAAGTGTTATTACCAAGCACAGATCATCCACAGTCTACATACTAGAGCAATATATAGGGCATGTGATTTCTATAGAGAGATTTAGAAAAAAAGAAAACTAGAAAGGCTATTCCATAAGCATTAAACAGAGTGTTTCAATAGCTCAGTTCTCCATAGGACGCCCTCAGGGAGGTAGTCCCCTGGGAAGAAAATAAGACACCATTTAACAATGAGGTTGGGGGGTTCTCCTAGGAGTTATAACCTGGAGGAGACATAAACTGTTTTGAAGCACTACAAACCAGCAAAAGAAGAAGTGTGCTTTCAGACCTGCCTGCCTTAACCCAGTACAGGGCTTTACTCTTTAAGTGATCTAAGCCAATAATGGGGACACACAGAAAACTGAATTTTCTGAGATGGCATCAGACAAATGACACTATGCAGACGAATGACATGACGTGTAGGTACGCCAACCAGACATAAGTGAAGAAAACTAACCCGCAGGGATAACACCAGGGACAAAATCACCAGTAGCCATGACAACTCAAGTAGGTGGAGGGAAATACAAACACTGACCAGGCTGCGGGGACCAGGCTGCGGGGTGACACTACTCCTTCAGGTATAGACTCTGGGGTGTGACAAGTGGAGAAACTTGGCCAAGAATGAAACCGACTAGCCTAAAGAGGCAGCGTCCGCGCAGGAGGGCTCGGCGGCGACACTCCTCCCCCTGGGGAGGCTCGCAGGGTCAAAGGATCATTCGTAGGAGACCCGACGCCAGTAAGACCGAGAAAGGAGTTACCTGGTGCAGGGCTGTCAAGCCGTCCACGTTGACTGTGTTGATGTCGGCACCTCTTGCCAGAAGCTTTTTCACCTCGTCGGTGTCCCCGCTAGAGCAGGCGGCCAGAAAGACAGCACCGTCCTCGAAGCGGACCCGGGGGCTACCGCGCCTGGTCAGCGGCTGCCGCCCCGCGCCTCGTCGCTCCGCGGGCTCCTGCTCTGTCAGCGAGCCCCGCCAGCGCCGCAGCTGCTCTGCCCGCCGCATTCGCGCCGACTCTGCCCGCTTCCCTCCCAGGTGCTCCAGCTCCGCCATTGCTACGGCCTCGGCAGCTACTGCCGAAACTACCACCCCTAAATTTCTGTTGCGGCTAGGGTTGCCGCTATCGCCTCCCCCCACAGCGCTTTAACCGGGAGCAGAAGGCGGAGACCGCCGCACCGCCATCTTTACTCCTCCCGCCACTAGCGCCGCCCGCACGCTCCTCCGCTTTCAATGCGCAGGCGCTGCCCGGGCCGCGGGTCATCACGGGACGTGCAGTAAGCTACCTGCCTTGAGGGCACGTTTATGGCCGTGAGAGAACTACAAATCCCTGAATGCATCAGAAAAGAGGCGAGGACCGACGGCTTCTCTTTCGCCACCGGACCCAGAGGGGTCACCTTTGCCCTAAAGCGAGAACTGTCTTCCGGACTGGCGTCTGCTCTGCCTCTGGACGTCTTGGGAGTCGTAGTTTATTCCTGCCATGACTACTGCTCTTAGCTCCCCAACTATCACATCAGTCCTATAGAGTAGAAGAGGGGCAGTAATTGTTCCTGTTTTCTAGTGGAGAGAGCTAGACATAAAGTACCGAAAAGACTGGAATCTGTGTCCTGGTTCTAAATCTAGAGTTTTACTAGCATGTGGATTAATCACAGTAAATGTGGATGTGCGTGGGGAGAAGGAGCACACAAACAGATACAGTATTACACGTTTTACATAAATACTTTCAACATGGACACTTATTCTAGGCCCAGAAAAGGTCTTGAAAAAAATGCATCTAGATGTAGAAACTAGCTTAAGCTTTGAATTCAAATTGAATTAACATTAGTAGACAAATTACTTGACTTCTCTGACTCTGTTTTCTTATGTTCCTAGTACTCTCCTTGACATATATCGACTCTCAATAAATATTAGCTTCTCTTTCCCTCCTCCTCCTCTACTGTTTTCACGGATCTTAAATTCTTACAAAATAGTATGGATGTTTTGTGTTCCATGATTTTTTACAAAGTTAGGACAACCCCCCTCAAGTCCCCTTCTGCTGTGGAAGCTTTTCTGTCCTCTCAATAAATTCTCCTTTCTCACCAAAAAAAAAGGGAGGGAGAGAGAGACACTGTGGAGCATACTAAACTCCTAAGGCAGCAAGTAGGACATTTTAATATTCACTATGACTTGGTTACAAAACATATGTCCATCCAACTGATTTAATAACTATATCCTCCAGGGCCCTAGCCCTGGACAAAATATACTTAAATGTGTTATCCATAATACATGAAAACATATGCAAGTATTAGATTCTTTAAACTTTTCTGTATGTTTGAAATTTTTCATTAAAAAGTATTGCAGGTCAGGCGCAGTGGCTCATGCCCATAATCCCAGCACTTTGGGAGACTGAGGTAAGAGGATTGCCTGAGCCCATGGGTTTGAGATCAGCCTGGGCAATTTGGCGAGACCTCATCTCTACAATAAATCAAAAAATTAGCGGGGCGTGGTGGTGCATGCCTGTAGTTGCAGCTACTTGGAAGGCTGAGGTGGAAGGATGGCGCCTGAGCCAGCAAATCAAGGCTGCAGTGGCCATAAGCATGTCGCTGCACTCCAGCCTGGGCAACAGAGTGAGACTACAACTCAGAAAAAAAAAAGGTATTGCAAAATGATAAAGATATTATAAAGAAAAACTATTGTATTCTGTCATGTGAACATTTGCCTTTTCCTCAGTTTCATCTGAAATGAACTGGGAATCATATGTTGAGGAAATCCATGAACTGAGAGCCTCAAGTGAAAAGTGACAGTTAAATCCAAAATATTATTATGCTTAATAATACTGTCTACAATATAGTTTAGTTGAATATTTTTATGTACATTATAAATACTAATTAAGTCTTACAGCATCTTTGTGAACTATGAATAACAGTGCACATAAAAATAATCAAGACGTAATACTATACATCTCATACAACCTCATTTTCCTTGCTACATGCATTTATTTACAGTCACCAGAGAATTTGCCATATCTCATCATATATTACAATTAAAAATTCTTTATGAGATTTACTTTGTAACTTGTCGATATGGAACCTCTTTATATTAGTCAGTTTGCATCGCTATAAAGAAATACCTGGCCGGGCTCGGTGGCTCAGCCTGTAATTCCAGCACTTTGGGAGGCTGAGGTGAGTAGATCGCCTGAGCCCGCGGGTTCGAGACCCGCCTGGGCAACTTGATGAGACCTCATCTCTACAACAACAACAACAACAACAACAAAACTAGCTGGACGTGGTAGCCGCAGCGCGCCTGTAGTTCCAGCTACTCAGAAGGCTGAGGCGGAAGGATCGCCAGAGGCCAGCGGGTCGAAGTTGCGGTGGCCGGGAGCGGCCATTGCACTCCAGTCTGGGTGACAGAGTGAGACTCCAACTCGAAAAAAAAGAAAAAGAAAAGAAAAGAAATACCTGAGGTTGGCCAGGCGTGGTGGCTCATGCCTGTAATCCCAGCACTTTTGCGAGAGGATTGCCTGAGTCCAGGGGTTCAAGACCAGCCAGAGCAACATGGCAAGACCTCCTCTCTACAATAAATCAAAAAATGAGCAGGTGTGGTGGCGCATGCCTGTGGTTCCAGCTACTTGGAAGGCTGAGGTGACAGAGTGAGACTCTGATTCAGAAAGAAGGGGAGAGGGGAGGAAGGAAGGAAGGAAGAAAGAAAAGAGAAAGAAAAGAAAGAAATACCTGAGGCTGAGTAATTTACAAAGAATAAAGGTTTATTTCAGCTCATGGTTCTGCATGGTACTGGCATATGCTGGGCTTCTGGTGACCCCCTCAAGAATATTACAATCATAGCAGAAGGCAGAGCAGACATGTCACATGGCAAGAGAAGAAGCAAGAGAGAGAAAAAGAGATACCAGAGGCTTATCAACCAGCTCTCCCGTGAACTAATAATAGAGCAATAGCTCATTTGTTACCCCCAGAAGGGCACCAAGTCATTCATGAAGGATCCACCTTCAAAACCCAAATACCTCCCTCGAGGCCCCACCTTCAACACTGGGGATCCCATTTCAACATGAGATTTGGGAGGGAACAATAATTCAAACCATATCACCCTTCCTCTTTCTATTTAGCTTCTTACAGATAATAGTGAGCATAATAATCCAAATAGAACTCTCTCTAAAGGATTAAAGAAAATTGAAATTAAATTACACAGGTAAGACAACTCAGCTAGGACCTAACCCTGTCCACAATCTTCATGCATCATTTCAATATTATGCTCCTGGTATATGATAGCTTTTCAAAAAATATATTTGTATATAACTTAACTTTATATTTTACTGACATATTGGTCTTCTAATAAGGATTTTAAAGTTGGGATAAATTTTTCAGGAATAAGTAGTTACTTTTGGCTACATTTTTTTTGTTGTTTTCAGAATAAAGAAACCAGACCGATCTAGTTCTAGTTGTATAAATAAGCTAAAATTAACTAAGTCCATATAAAATCCTTACTTTTCCAAAAGATATGAGCTTAAATTTCAACAGGAAGAACTCAGTCTCAAAACTAGAAAGTTCAGGAAACAGGAAGTATTTCTTTATTATGCCTATTTTATGTGTTTCTTTTCTTCTTATTTTTCCCTGTGATGGTAAGAGTGTAATACACCGTTTGGAGAGTTTTGGGGTTTTTTAAAGTGTGAGTAGCTAAGTTCCTTGGATAATTTAAGTGGATGCCTACCTGTAGAAAAAGAAATATATCTTATGGCTAAGTGATTATTGAAAGTGGTAACAGGCCGGGCACGGTGGCTCAGCCTGTAATCCCAGCACTTTGGGAGGCCGAGGCAAAAGGATTGCCTGAGCCCAAGGATTCGAGACCAGTCTGGGCAACTTGGTGAGATCTCGTCTCTACAATAAATCACAAAAAAGTTAGCCAGGTATGGTGGCGTACGTCTGTAGTTCCAGATACTTGGAAGGCTGAGGTGGAAGGATCACCTGAGCCTAGCAGGTGGAGGCTGTGATGGCTGTGAGCGTGACACTGCACTCCAACCTGGACGACAGAGTGAGACTCCAACTCAAAAAAAAAAAAAAAAAGTGGGGTAACAATTATTATAATCCAGTGAATTTAACAGGCTCAGCAAAAAAAAAAAAAAAAAAATGCCATGAGAACATTCATCTATCTATGACTTGAAAAGGCTTTCAAAACTAAAATCATACAAATTTTTTTCTAAAACATTTTATCCAACAAGGGTCCCCAGAAAAAGTTATACAATCAGCTCATTAAGCAAGTATAGTAGTTTAAATTTTCTAAATAACCACTCTATTTTAAATAAAATATATATAAATATATTTTTTGAGTTGAAGTCTCACTCTATCTCCCAGGCTGGAGTATGGTAGCATGCTCACAGCCACCGCAGCCTGGACCTGCTGGACTCAAGCAATCCTTCCGCCTCAGTTTTCCAGGTAGCTGGAACTACAGGTATGCGCCACCACGTCCAACTAATCTTTTTATTTATTGTAGAGACAAGGCCTCACCAAGTTGCCCAAGCTGGTCTTGAACCCCTGAACTGAGGCAATCCTCTTGCCTCGACCTCCCAAAGTGCTGAGCTTACAGGCTTGAGTCACTGTGCCCGGCTTAAAAATATTTTTATATACAAGTAAAATCCTGACAAAATAATCATGTATACAAATAAAATATAATTTTATACTTTTAAATGTACTGAGCCTGCTATGATGTGTTCTTATATGAAGCCACTTTTAAAAAATAACTTTTTTTTTTGAGTTGGAGTCTCACTCCGTGGCCTAGGCTGTAGTCAGTGGCATGCTCAAGGCCACTGCAACCTCAACCTGCTGGGCTCAAGGGATCTTTCTGCCTCAGCCTTCCAAGTAGCTAGAATTCCAGGCTTAAGTCACCATACCTGTTCTAATTTTTTTAATTTATTGTAGAGATGAGGTCTTGCCAAGTTGCCCAGGCTGGTCTTGAACCCCTGGACTCAGGCAATCCTCTCACCTCAGCCTTCCAAAGTGCTGGGATTTTCCATGTTTACACTTTAAAAAATAATTTAAGTTAGAATACTCCATTTTAAAAAGCAATGACCCAAGACCAGGCCTGGTAGTCAAACCTGTAATCCCAGCACTTTGGGAGGCCAAAGCAAGAGGATTGCCTGAGCCCAAGGGTTTGAGACCAACCTGGGCAACTTGGCGAGACCTTGTCCCTACAACAAATCAAAAAATAGCCAGGCATGGTGGCGCATGCCTGTGGTTCCAGCTACTTGGAAGGCTTGAGCCCAGCAGGTCCAGCAGGTCGAGGCTGCAATGGCCGTGAGCATGCCACTGCACTCCAGCCTGGGTGGCAGAATAAGACTTGGTCTCAAAAAATAAAAATAAGAAAAAGCAGTGACCCCATAGATGAAAATCTTTTAGCCTGGCCTCTATTCCCACCAGTTAACATACCACCCTCTGGTGGACAAATGGAAACTGTACACTTAGTGCATAGGGTTCTTTTTCACCCTCCGCCTGATTCCTTTTCTTCCTTTCTTTCCCCTTCCATCCTCCTTTTCTTGCCTTTTCTTTCTGTTGCCAAAACTACGATATTCACTTGTTTGATCATATCATCTCTCCTTTCCCCAGGCTCAATGCAGTTCTTGTTTTTGCCAAGAGACATTTTTAAGACCTATTTCTCAGAGAACGACCCAAGAAAGTAATCAATTTCAGCTCTGAAGACAGAACTGTAATTGAGATACAATTCGTTGGCTCAGTTATAGTTGGGGTTGGAATAAGTGAAGTAAAGACAGACATTGAGAGGATTAAATTGAAATATCAGTAGTAAAATAAACAGCAACTCTAAAATGATGACAGAAAACACATTACTACATTGAGTAAATGCTGACAATAAATGCAAAACCCCAACGGCTAACTGGAAATTTAAACCGGACAATAACAAGATTCCTTATGTTTGCTTCATGATTTCACAAAAAAATTTAGTTGGTTCATTCCTACAACTAAAGTGAGGAATCAGGGTAAAATTACAGTCCTCATCAACGTGTGGGTCTCTTGAGGAGAGAAAACATACTATGCAGTGGTCACGGGGAACCGGTTGCTTCTTAACATCAGTTTATACAAAAAGTCAAAATCACTGCAGGGGCCAAAATTATACTGGTTTCCAAGTTTGGAGAGAGACTGATCATGAGTCCTATGCCCCCTCTGTTCCAAAGCCACACAATGAGCTGACAGCAGTGAGATGAGGCTTGTTTTTCCCTCACCCACAGTATTCCCAAGGGCTAGTCTAGTTCCAGCCATGTCCTTTAGAGTCAAGCCAGGTCTGGGCCAAACTTCAGCTCTCATGGAGCATTCATCTCTGGTAGAGGCAGCTCTGGGAAGCCAAAGTCGGCTTAGCTATAAACAGCTACTTCCTTGGTCAGAAAGTACTGTACTTCTAGAGGTGGAAGACGGCTTAAAAGACATCTATCCCAAACTTCCACCCAAAGCAAGTATCCCTTGTGCACGATCCTCAGCAACTTCCACTTGAACACTTCCGGGATGGAGAAATTCACTACCTCCCAAGTTTATCTACTTTGTTCTTCAAGCTTCTAACTGATAGAATGCTTTATTGAGCTCAATTTTGCTCAATTTCAACTTTCATCCGCTGGTCTTAGACGTGTCCTCTGAAGTAGCAAACGCTGCCATGTGAAAAACATTTAAAAATAAATGAAGACAGCTATCACGCATTCCTTTCTCCAGTTTAAATATTTCCGAACGTTCCTCTCCCCGTTCTTCCTAGTAGGTGATTTCCAGCTCCCTCCTTGCTCTGACAAACGCAGCCAACCTTGTAACCGAACTGGTAACCACACGGGTCACACCAGGTGGCGCTTCAATTTGAATGCGGCGTGAGAGTGAAGGTCTGAGCGTCCGGAGGTGTCTCAGCGTTGAGCATCCAGGTGTAGGAAGTTGTAGCGCTTCAACTTGAATGCGGCGTGAGTGAAAGCCGGCTTTGAGCACTGACCAATAGACGACTGCGCGCCTCTCCCGTGGGCCAATCACAATCCTCGCAGGACGGGAGGCGGAGCCACGCCAACCGTCCGGGTTTGCGCAGGCGCAGTTAGCCGGTTGATGCGCGCGCGGCGGAGGCGAGAGGTGCGCTCGCGCAGGTAAGAACGGAGCGTTTTCCTGTACCCCATCTGAGAGAGTGCACCCTGGAGGAGGTCACTGTGGCCTCTGGGGCGAAAGAGTCCTGTGTCCGCTTAGCATGGGAGTTTTCCTCTCCTCGGAAAGGAGAGCCTCAGAAAAGCCTCTGCTAAGCGGAGGGGCTGAGCGTGCCTTTGCCATGAAAACGTGGCCGGAGATCTCCGAGCTGTCCTGTGGCCACTACAGGGAGGAATTTGCCACAGTGGAACAGACCTGACTGCCAGTTTTACTTAAATGTACCTAATCGTGTGAATTGTGTAGTTATGTTCGGCACTCGCTGCAGGATGTGCACAGGCTGTTCTTTCACCTTCAGCTTCTGGTCCAGGCTCACGTTTCGTTCCTGAATTATTCAAATTGACTACAGCACTGGATACAAAAGACTTAGAATTTAAGGGTAGGGACCTGCCTTCAAGGAATTCGCCCTAATGAGGAGAGGCTGTCAGATGAAGTCACACGGGGTACATTGATGTGGAGCACAGAGAGGGTGACCTTTGAACGGTGTAAAGAATTGCGATGTACTCATGGCTGGAAAAGGAGTTGTGTTTTTTTTTGTTTTGTTTTTGCTTGCTTGCTTGCTTGTTTTGTTTTGAGCCAGAGTCTCACTCTGTCGTCCAGGCTGAGTGCAGTGGTATGATCACGGCTCCCGGTAACCTCGACCTCTTTGGCTCAGGCGATCCTTCCACCTCAGCCTCCTGAGTGACTGGAACTGCCGGCGCGTGTCACCACGCCGGTTAATTTTTTCCTCTTTTTTTTTTTTTTTTTTTTAATAAATAGAGACAAGGACTCCCTATGTTGCCCAGGCTGGTCTTGAACTCCTGAGCTCAGGCAGTCTGTCCACCTCAGCCTCCCAAAGTGCTGGGATTGCAGGCGTGCGCCACTGTGTTCAGCCAGGAGTTGTGATTTTTTTTTTTTTGAGTTGGAGTCTCACTCTGTCGCCCAGACTGGAGTGCAATGGCCGCTCCCGGCCACCGCAGCCTCGACCTGCTGGGCTCCGGCGATCCTTCCGCCTCAGCCTTCCAAGTAGCTGGAACTACAGGCATGGGCCACCATGCCTGGCGAATTTTTTGATGTATTGTAGAGATGAGGTCTCACCAAGTTGCCCAGATGGTCTCGAACCCCTGGGCTCAGGCAATCCTCTCGCTTCCACCTCCCAAAGTGCTGGGATAACAGGCTTGAGCCACCGTGCCCGGCCTCTTTGGTTCTTAGCAGTTTATTTGCAACATCCCTATGTGAGATTTTCTTTGTAAAGTTATGTATGTTTTAACAATAAGAATATGTTGTAAGAAATGCTTTTGTTAGGCGATTTCATCGTTATGCACATCATAGTATATGTATATTTACACAAACATAGGTGGTGTAGACTACTACACACCTAGGCTATGGTATACAGCTTCTTGCTCCTAGACTACAAAACTGTACATGTTTGTGTACTAAATACTGTAGGCAAATGTAACACAATAGTATTTGTGTATCTATTTTTTTCCCCATGGAACTGATTAGCAAATATTTGTGTATCTAAACAAAAAAGGTAATGTGTTGCACTACAATATCACAACAGCTACAGTGTTAGTAGGTGACAGGCATTTTTTTTATCTGTATTATAGTCTTATGGGAACACTATCTTATATGCAGTTTGTGGTTGACCGAAAAGTCATTCTGTTGGGCATAAGTATTTATTTATCCTGGCTGGATATCTTTGACCTTACTGGGTCTATGAGCCAGTATTTTTAAAATCATATTTGAAAAATTTTCACCCTATATTTCTTCAAACTTGACTACATAAAATAATAACAATACTTCATCGGGTTTAAAGAAAAGTATACAATGAAAATTAAAATACAAAACAGTATAAGTCAGAAGGTAGGGTTAATTCTCGCTAAGGTCCTTGTATTGTTTGGGAGGAGATAAAGGTACTAGTTAACTTTTGGACTTTTTAAAAGTTACTGGAGTATCTTTTTTTTTTTTTTTTGAGTTGGTGTCTCACTCTGTGACCCAGGCTGGAGTGCAGTGGCACACTCACGACCACCACAGCCTCAGCCTGCTGGGCTCAGGCGATCCTTCTGCCTCAGCTTTCCAAGTAGCTGGGACTACAGGCATGTGCCACCATGTCTGACTGATTTTTTGATTTATTATAGAGATGAGTTCTCACCAAGTTGCCCATGCTGGTCTGGAACCCGTGGGCTCAGGCAATCCTCTTACCCTGGCCTCTGAAAGTGCTGGGATTATAGGTGTGAGCCACCGGGCCCAGCTGATAAACATTCTTTTTAATCACACATGGGACATTTATGAACACTGATTACATATTTTGCAATAAAGCAAGACTCAACAAACTCAAAGGATATAAACTACACATTAGAAATCTATAACAAATTTAACTAGGAAACTCACACATCTGAAAATTAAGTAACTTGTTTTTAAATAAAGAAGAAATTGGCCGGGTACAGTGGCTCATACCTGTAATACCGGCACTTTGGGAGGCAGAGGCAAGAGGATATGTTGAACCCACGTGTTCGAGACCAGCCTGGGAAACATGGCAAGACCTCGTCTCTACAATAAATCAAAAAATGTGCTGGGCGTGGTGGTGCACACCTGTAGTTCCAGCTACTTGGAAGTCTGAGGCAGTAGGATTGCCTGAGCCCACCAGGTTGAGGCTGTGGTGGCTGTGAGGGTGCCACTGCACTCCAGCCTGGGCGACAGAGTGAGACTTCGACTCAAAAAAACAACCAAAAAAGAAGAAATCATGAGGGAAATTAAAAAATATGGAGAATAAAAGAATATTATGTATATCAAAACTTTAGGATGAAATGTATAGCCTTACATGTTTATAATTGAAAAGAGGGCAACCCCCTCTGGTCCCTTCCCATTGTGGGATCTTTTCTGTCCTCTCAATAAATCCTGCTTTCTTAAAAAAAAAAAAAATTGAAGAAAAATGAAAATTAAGTGTCATGATACTGTGAACTGTTTGTGTTCTACCCCATTTCCTGACATGCAACTCCTATAATTCTTACAATCTCCAAAGTGATGTCTTTTTGTGCTAATTCCACACATTTAGTCACACAAGTTTTCTGTGTTGATGATTGTTGTGATGTGACACAGAGAAAAACACAGTTTTAGGTTTTTTACTTACAACCATATTACCTAAGTTTTAAAAAAGAAAACTAAGAAAGTAGAAGGGTGGAAATAATAAAGATAGGAGCAGAAATTATTGAAACAAAATAAATGTCATACAGAGGAACTATAAAGTGCTTCTTGCAAAGACTAATAGCATTGATATATGCCTGGCAAGACTGATCAAAAAAAAACAAAAGATGGCACAAATAATTTCAAAATGAAAATGGAAGCACACAGATATCACAGAGATTAAAAAGATAAAACTTTATGCAAATAAATTTGAACATTAAAAAATGAAATAGATCCATTTGTAGAACAATTTAACTTGTGAAAGGTTAAATTCCTCCTTTCAGGAAGAAATAAAGAACTTGAATAATACTTTAATATTTAAATGAATTGGGTTTGTAGTTTAAAATTTTTTCAAAATGAAAACACCAGGACCAGATGGAGTTCTGCCAACCTAGGAACAGATTATCTCCCAGACTAATCTATAATATGGGGGTGGGGAGGACAACACTCCCTAACTCATTTTAGGAGGTTAACATAACCTTGCTGCCTGATAAGGACAAAATTAGAATGGAGAATTACAGGTCAATATTACTGATAAACATAGTGTTGAAAGCTTTCCCTTTAAGGTTAGAAATTGAACAAGAATGCCAACTATCAGCTAATGTTTGTCAAGTCCAGTCCCTTACGATGCCAGGCATGCTAAGAATTCATTGGTGAGCAAAATCAGACTCAGGCCTTGGCCTCATGAGTTCATTATTTATCAGTGGAAACACATTCATTTAAAACCTTTAGTAGTGGTTTTTTTAGAACTTTTTGCATTATTTTTATTTTAAAAATTTATCTACTTGAGTAGATAAAATGTTCACAAGAAAGAAATGGAAAAACTACTCATTCCTTTGTCAGAATAGAGATTAACAAGGGGAATGTATCCCTCTCTAAATAGAAGCCATGTTCTGAAAAATGGAAAAAAAAAACTCTAGTCACTATGGCTTACTATTTCATGGTTGTCCCTTTTCTTCCCCGGTGCATCCCAGCCAGTTCCACTGTGGAGTGAACTGTGTGTGGTTCCTTTTACTTGGAAATCATGCAGAGAGCCTCCCGTCTGAAGAAAGAACTGCACATGTTAGCCACAGAGCCACCCCCAGGCATCACCTGTTGGCAAGATAAAGACCAAATGGATGATCTGCGAGCTCGTAGGTATCATGTCATGCCTGTGATGAGTCATGACCCTATTGAAGATTGTGCTTGAAATTCAAATATTTGCATCAACAAGGGTACCTGCATAATCAACGTTTGTATTCCTAACCCTGAACTCCACATCTTTCAAATAAAATTAAAAAAAAAAAAAATTCAAACATTTGTATATTCTTAAGTAGTGAGGAGTTGTAAGGTCAAAGTACCCTACTGTCTTTCTACCCTCATTTGTTTACATTCATAAAAGGTTTACTTGACATTTCATGCTTCTTTTACTTTTTATTATGCCAAAAGATTGAAAGCAGTGAGCAGTGTTTAGACCAAAGATCACCATCTCAAATATCTGTGAGACCAGACAGGAAACATCCGTGATTAGAATACTGCAGTCCAAACAAAACAAATCTGCAGGTTGTATTTGGCCTTGTGGCCAACATTTTGCAACTTCTGTTTTAGATCTTCTTTATTTCTTTTGTTTGACACCAACAACCTTTTTGGGTACATCAACATCATGACATATTGTATGAAGACTTATTAAAGCCCTGAGAGAGAATTATTGTCCTAGAGCTAGTTTCTCTATTAGGACCGTAGACTTCATTAGGTCCATATCGAGTGGTAATTCAAATCATCTGATTCCCTTTTAACAAATCTCTTTTAAGAAATCTTAGGTGGAACCAACACACCTTATGAGAAAGGTGTTTTCAAGCTGGAAGTTATCATTCCTGAGAGGTGAGTTTGAATCAGATTCTCAACCTACAGAATAAAGTGCTGTTATTGGAAGACAGAGCAATGTAGTAGATAGGGAACATTAAATGTAGGGGTCAAAGGACATGGGTTTTAATCCTAGTCTCACCATGACTTGTGTGACATTGGGAAAGTTGTTTTTATCTCTCTGGAGTTGTTTTCTTCTCTAAAATAATGGGCTAGATCAATTAAAGGCCCTCCCCATTTTTCAAATTGTGGTAAAATATATCAAATTTGCCTTTTTAAATTTTTTTTTTTTTTTGTAGAGACAAGGTCTCACTGTGTTGCCTAGGCTGGTCTTGAAATCCGTGCTCAAGCAGTCTTCTTGCCTTAACCTCCCTAAGTGCTAGTATTATAGATGGGAGCCACCATGCCTATCCCAAAATGTACCTTTTTAGCCTTTTTTTTTTTTTTGAGTTGGAGTCTCACTCTGTCTCCCAGGCTAGAGTGCAGTGGCACGCTCCCGGCCACCACAGCCTCAACCTACTGGGCTCAGGAGATCTGCCTCAGCCTTCCAAGTAGCTGGAACTACAGGCGTGTGCCACCACGCCCAGCTAATTTTTTGATTTATGGTAGAGATGAGGGCTTGCCAAGTTGCCCAGGCTGGTCTTGAACTCTCAGACTCCCAAAGTGCTGGGATTATAGGTGTGAGCCACCATGCCCAGCCTTTAGCCATTTTTTAATGTACAGGTCAATGGCATTAAAATGCATTCATCGCCACCATGTATTTCCAGAACTTTTCACCTTCCCCAACTGATACTTCAAGCCCATTAAATAATAACTCCTCATTTTTCCCTGCTCTCGGCCTTCTGCAATCACTATTCTACTTTCTCAATATTAAGACCCCTTTTAATTCAAGTCTTCTTTAAGACTTTCATCAGGTAAGTTGTAGTTTTGGGGTTTTTTTTGTTGTTTTTTTTTAGTTGGAGTCTCACTCTGTCGCCCAGACTGGAGTGCAGTAGCACACTCACTGCCACCCCAGTGTCAATCTGTTGGGGGTCCGGCGATCCTTCCGTCTCAGGCTTCCAAGTAGCTGAAACCACAGGCATGTGCTATCACGCCTGGCTAATTTTTTTCTTAATTGTAGAGACAAGGTCTCACCAAGTTGTCCAGGCTGGTCTCGAACCTGTGGGCTCAGGCAATCCACTGACCTCAGCCTCCCAAAGTGCTGGGATTACAGGCTGAGCCACTGAGCCCAGCCAGTTGTTGTAGTTTTACAGAATAAGAAATGAATATCTAACTGTTGAAATGTAGATATTTAATCACCAGGTTGGACCCTGGCCAAAGTTGTTAAAGTCTTGAGAATAGCTTAGTAATCATGTGGTACATCATTTCTGAAAATAGACTGGGAACTTGCCAAGGTTTATGTCTCACTAGAGAGACATAATCAAATGTAATGTATAAATCTTAATTGGGTCCTGCTTTGAAAATCCAAACTATTTAAAAGAAAAAACCTGTGGGGAACAATGAAATCTGAACAATAAACATTAGGGAATTCTTAGGTATAATAGAATTGCAGTTATATAGGAGAATATCCTTATTCTAAAAAGATAGATGCTAAAGTATCTAGATGGTAGAGTGATTTGAATCCAGGTGGTGAATATAGAAGTGTTTTCTATTTATTTCAACTTTTCTGTTTGTAAATTTTCATAGTACAAATTTAGGGAGAAAGTTTGTCTTCCTGATATTTCTACAACACCAACATTATTTTTATATGTATATTAGTGACTAGAAAACTTTTTTTTTTTTTTTTTTTTTGAGTCAGGGTCTCATTCTGTCACCCAGGCTGGAGTGCAGTAGCATGATCATGACGATCATGACTCACAGCGGCCTTAGCCTCCAGGGCTCAGGTGATCCTTCTACCTCGGCATCCTGAGTAGTTGGGACTACAAGCATGTGCCACTATTTCCAGCTAATTTTGGTTTTGTTTTTTTTGTTTGTGTTTATTTTTTGTAGATAGGAGGCTTTGCTATGTTGCCCAGGCTGGGTCCCGAACTCCTGGACTCAAGCAATCTGCCCATCTCAGCTTCCCAACAGTAAACTATTTTAAATATGTTTAAAAAGCAATATTATAATTAAAATTCTCTGTTGTCCTGTGCTTTTGTAGGTACCCATTTGAACCTCCTCAGATTCGATTTCTCACTCCAATTTATCATCCTAACATTGATTCAGCTGGAAGGATTTGTTTAGATGTTCTCAAATTGCCACCAAAAGTGAGTTGTGGGTAAAAGATTGACTCTATAGCATTCTGTTTTCTTCATCTATAAAACTTGAATTAGAGAATCATATTCTAATATAAAAACAACTGTTTGTTTGTATATAGGGTGCCTGGAGACCATCCCTCAACATTGCAACTGTATTGACCTCTATTCAGCTGCTCATGTCAGAACCCAACCCTGATGACCCACTCATGGCTGACATAGTAAGTATCCCCATTTCTGTTTTCTCTATACCTCTAAGCCTTCATGTGTGGAGATAGCTACAGCAGCTGTAGCTTATTCCTGTAAATCATTTTTTTCTCCATTAACTCTCTTATTTCATCTCAGTCCTCAGAATTTAAATATAATAAGCCAGTCTTCCTCAAAAATGCCAGGCAGTGGACAGAGAAACACGCAAGACAGAGGGTATGATGTTTGCTACTATTGTCAGTTCATTAAGTGTGTATGTTTCCATATATATGTATAAATAACATTTATTAGATCTGCCAACCTTGTACTGTACTCTAGAATGACTAGTTGATCTTTTTCTTCTATTGTAACCTTCTAAATAATTATTCAGCAAAATATTCTAGTAGCTCAACCAACAGTAGTCATCTATTGGCAACACTAGAGGGCAGGCAGCATCTGGTTAATTTTTAAAATTTTCTTTAGGGTAACAGAAAGGAAGAGATGGTGACTCGGATTCTTTTTTCTAAATTGTCTTTTTCACACTGAGAAGAGACTATATTTGCAGGGACTAGTCACAGAAATAGGAAGGGAGAACTTATATTTCTTATGGGATCATTCATAGAAAAAGGGAGAAGGAAAAACTTCCTCCCATTTAAGTTGACAGAATTTCCTCATTTAACAAAATACAAATTGCAGGAAATGTAATTAGCACATCCTGGTTCTTGCTAAATTATAACATCCTTAAGGTTCAGTTAAGTAGCAATTGTGTTACTTGTAAAAAGAAATAAAATATTAAAAATACAAAAAATTGAGGAATATGCTTTTGGAGGAAATATCATGTACAATGTAACATATAAATCTTGCAGCAAGAAAGTACCTGTAAATAATATTACAGAGCTTAATTGTTCTCAATCCTGGCATTTGTGTGAACCTTGAAGTATTTCACTCTATCTACCCCTTTCTAGGCTGATGAGGAAGAGATGCTTGATAATCTACCAGAGGCTGCTGTCTCTGAAATACACAGCTCAACACAGAAAAGGAAAGCCGGACAGCAAGGAGGCATAGAAAAGAAATTTTGTCCTGGTGTTTAGGGGATTTGTCCTGGTCCATCTTAGGACAGGAACTTGTATGCTAACTATATAATCAGAATGAAACTCGCTAGTATCATTTCATGACAAGTATTACTTTAAACAAGAATGTCCTGGACCATTCTTTGTCAAGATGGTCTAATTTGCCTACCTTTCTTGAATGTTATTCTTTGTTATTTGATAATATTATAATTTTTGTCCTATAAAAGACCCTGTATATTTATGTATTCTGCTCTACAGTGATTCTGAGTGTAGTTTGTTTTATTTATCTTATACATACATATTTTGAAATCCTTTAAACCTGAAAAATAAATAATCATTTAATGCTGAGTATGTGTTTATTCTGAATGTGTGTCTGGGAGTTAACTGGTCAGAGAGCTATAATATAATCAGGATGTTAAAATATTTGGAATTGTTGTCCTTTATTTTGCCAATTTACCACCGTCACTAAGGACACTGAATGTTTGACATAGATATAAAATAGCTGGTAGAAAGAATTAAATTGTCTCTAGGCTTTCAGGGATTTTTAGAAGTCTTACAACAATGTGGAAAGAAGGTAATAGGCCATTTGTTAATTAATTTATTTTTTGCAGCTTTCACTTTTTGTGATTTATATAGCTGGTCAGAATTACCACAGTAATTAATTTGTTCAGCACAAATGTATTGAACACCTACTATGTACCAAGTATTATGCTAGTGTTTGAGAATGTAATGATGAAAAACTCAGATATGAGATTAACCAAATACTCTGGATGATCTAAGTAGGTTATAATCCCTTCCTCTTCCTAGCATCATTTCATGTCAAGTACTACTCTAAACAATTAGATGCCAAATTTGAGTTCCTACTTGTAATTTTATAATTCACTTGACTTTACAATTCTATTAAGTGACAGAAGTAACACATTTAACCAGAAATCAGTTGAAGTGAAAAGAGGTTGCCAATGCCAAGTGAAAGATGTTTTGAGGAATGTAGATATTGCATCTTTTTTTGAGTTGGAGTCTCACTCTATCATCCAGGCTGGAATGCAGTGGCACACTCATGGCACCCCAGTGTCGACCTGCTGGGCTCCAGCGTTCCTTCCATCTCAGCTTTCCAAGTAGCCAGAACTACAGGCATGTGCTACCATGCCCGGCTAATTTTTGATTTGTTGTAGAGACAAGGTCTTGCCAAGTTGCCCAAACTGATCTCGAACCCGCATGCTCAGGCAGTCCACTAACCTCGGCCTCCCAAAGTGCTGGGATTACAGGCTGAGCCACTGAGCCTGGCCGATAAGAAGTATTAATTTATATAATTCATTAATGACTGGTGATAGCAGAAACTAAAAAATATAAATTTCTAACTTCTTCAAAATTCTTGAACCCACTTCTCATAATCTGTTATTAGTCCTTTTTTGTCCGGTCTGAGTTGGATTTCACTCACAATGGAAAGCATCCTAATTGATACACTAATGATATCTAGGAGCCCCAAACCTGACTTAAGTATGCATGAATGTAGGAGTCAAGCCTGAGATAAAATGAATTTCTGGGTTTCAGAGGCTCAACAGTATCAAAATCTTGATCTCTTCCAATCTTCCATCCATAGTATCTGCTTTCAGGCTGTTTGTGCCTCAAGTTTCTTCTCCTAGGGGGACTACCATTAGCAGTCAGGGTTATGTACATTCTTATTCACATTCAGCATGCCACAGGGAACAAAAGTCCCTGTGATTGGGCCACCCTGTACAAGCAGCCATTGTATATGGCCAGGGAAATGCCATATACTGATTGGCCTAAGTTAAACCTAGCTATGAAGTAGAGAGGTGGACTTAGGGAATTGTAGGAAAAGAGTACTTCCTGTAGGACAAAACACCTACACATCTATCACCAAGTCTGGTCAGCTCTACCAGCTTCTCCCTATCTCCACCTCTAACAATCTAGTCTGAGCTGCCATCATGTCTCACCTGCACTATAGCCACAGCCTTCTATCTTGTTCCTTGACCCTTGATAGTCTGTGCTTCTCACAGCAGCAAGAATAATCTTTGGACAATGTAAGTCAGATCTGGTTTCCCTCCTTAAACCTTCCAAGTGGCTTTCTTTTGCAATTAAAACAAAAACCAAGTCTCCTTCCCTGACCCATGAGACCCTGCACGATCTGGCCCCTGCTTGCTCTATCTGCCCAGCCTTATTGCATGCCCTCAACCCCTTATATACCACACTCCAGCTTCACTGGCCTATTTCCAATCTATTGAACACTCCTAGCTCGTTCCTACTTCAGAGCTTTCCCATAATCTATATCTTCTGCCTCCTACATTTCCCATGATAGTCTTAGCTCAAATGTAACTGCCTCCAAAAATCCTTGTCTATCCCATCTAAAGGAGCCCTGGAGCCTCAGATATTCTCTAGCCCATTATCCTTATTAATTTTCTTTATAGCACTTGTACCTGTCTGAAAATGTGTTCACTTGTTTATGTGCATATTGTCTGACTCCAGGTGCTAGGGATATAATAACTATAATTATGGGACTTTTCTCTCTAATCACAAGAAATACCAGAGGCAAAAGTTATTAGAAGTCATCTATCCATCTCTCTGCCTTAGCAAGTACAAAGGACTTGGGCTAGAGAACAGAAGTGATGTGCCTGAGGATTAGAAAAGCACAGGTCCCTACTCCCAGCCCAGTGAAGGATAGAAAAGGGCTAAAAGCAGGGACTTGGGTCAGAAAGACCTGATTCCACCCCTGGCAGTGTTACCAATTGTGTGACCTTACTGCTCTACTCAAGCTTTCTTTTCTTCTTTTTTTAACTAGTTGTTTCTGTTTTGATAGAGACAGTGTCTCACTATGTTGCCCTAAGCTGGTCTTGAACTCCTGGGCTCAAGCAATCCTCTCAACTCGGCCTTCCAAAGTGCTGGATTGCAGGCTTAAGCCACCGTGTCTGGGTATGCAAGCTTTCTATTTTTTAGTTTTCACTTCTGTAAAATGGGATAATGATGGTGCGTAACTCATGAATGAGATGACATATGTAAAGTACCCAGTATAGGGTCTGACACAGTGCTGATATTTTTTTGGGGGGGGTTGTTTTTTGTTTTTTGTTTTTTTGAGTTGCAGTCTCACTCGGTCGCCCAGACTGGAGTGCAGTGGCCGCTCCCGGCCACCGCAGCCTCGACCTGCTGGGCTCCGGGGATCCTTCCGCCTCAGCCTTCCAAGTAGCTGGAACTACAGGCGCGCGCTACCACGCCCGGCTCATTTTGATCTATTACAGAGATGAGGTCTCGCCAAGTGGCCCAGGCGGGTCTTGAACCCGCAGGCTTAGACAATCCACTCACCTCAGTCTCCCAAAGGTGTGGGATTACAGGTTGAGCCACCGAGCCCAGCTGTTGTTTTTTTTTTTTGAGTCAGAGTCTCACTCTGTTGCCCTGGCTGGAGTGCAGTGGCGTGCTCACAGCCACTATAGCCTCGACCTGCTGGGCTCTGGCAATCCTTCCGCCTCGGCCTTCCACGTAGCTGGAACTACAGGCATGTGCCCCCATGCCTGGCTAATATTTTGATTCATTGTAGAGATGAGGTCTGGCCAAGTTGCCCTGGCTGATCTTGAAGCTGCGGGCTCAGGCAATCCTCTCATTTGGGCCTCCCCAAGTGCTGGGATTATAGGCGTGAGCCACTGCTCCCGGCCACGTGCTGTTGTTTATCGAGTGCTTAGACGGCAATCCAACCATGGATGGACCGTAAGGAGCTGTTCTGCCCACTGCCTACTTGCCTATCTGCTCTGTTCCTAGGATAAGCAAGCTGAGCAAGGTTTCTCAACTCAAAACCCCTAATTAAAGAGAGATGACATCCATGACTGATCATACAAACATTACAGATTCCAAATTCTCTCCTGCTACCCCCAACCCCCCTCTCCTCCTCTCCCCAAAAGCTATCTAAATAAGAACAGATTTTACCACCCACCTTGTGGGCAGACTCTGAGCTGAGGCTGGAACTAGCTATTTATCCTTCGGCTGCTACGGGAATTCAACACATACAAATAAAGCTCCTTTTCCAGCCAAGTGTGTATTTTTCCATCAGCGTGTGGCCCCCCTGTCCAGGTTGTCTTGTTTAGGTTGGGGCAGCCTGAGGGAGGGAAGGACAAGAAGGGGATGTGGGGCTGTGGTTTCAGAGCCTGCTCCCCAGGATGGATGGCTACAGGACATCTTGCAGTCCCGGACTGCACCGGGCTGCCAGGGGACCCCGGGAGAGCCTGGGGAAATGGATACAGACATGCAATGCCCAGAAACACATTCTGCTTTCTCCTTGCTTCCTGGCAAGTCGCCCCTGCCGCCTCCATTGCTCCCAAAGAGCATCTAGCTCTGTCCAACTCGTATGTCAGGGAGGACAGGTTATCCAATGTCTCCCAAAGGGCCGAGATTACAGGTGTGTGCCACCTAGATATGTTAATTTCTTAATTCTTTTTTTTTTCCAGCAGAAATTAACTGGGTACCTTGTTTGCACTGCACCCTATGATAAGGATTGCAGTTACAGTAGAGAATAAGATCAGCATGATCTGTGCTCTCAGGAAACTTTCACACTGTGTCTACTGTCCCTTCTGAGAAAAGCCACTCTGCCCACAGCTCTTCCCCTCAGGGGAAAGCCCTGAGAGGTCATATTTTGTCCAATACGACTCCACATAAACATCCCTATTCACACGTTACAATTTAGTGAACCAGAACAGGTGCCTGGCCTAAGAGTGGTCAACCTGTTAGTCACTGACCCATGATTTGGCCTAGGATAGAAGAGAAGTTTGGCTAGTCTGATTATCTCTCAATCTTACAGAACATTGCTCTGAGAATTTTAAAAAGAAAAAAAAGCCAGAAATGGTGGCTCACGCTTGTAATCCCAACACTTTGGGAGACTGAGGTGGTAGGATTCCTTTGGTCCAGGAGTTTGAGACCAGCGTGGGCAACATAGTATGACCTTGTCTCTAAAAACAAAACAAAACAAAAATTAGCTGGGTATGGTGGCATGCACTTGGAGTCCCAGCTACTCGGAAGGCTAAGGAAGGAGGACTACCTGGGCCCAGGAAGTCAAGGCAGCGGTGAGTGTGATCTTGACACTGCACTCCAGTCTGGAGGACAGAGTGAGACCCTGACTCAAGAAAACAAAACAAAACAAAAATCAAACCAAGGCAGTGATCCCAGGAACTGAAACTGAAAGGATGCATATAGAGGTTTTGAGGAAGGACAGGGATATAGAGAGACGCACGTAACAGAAGTTATGAATAGACTAACTACTGTATAATAGAAACATAAACTATGAGTCAAAAGAAGCAGTGAGGTAAAGCTGTCATCATTTAGAATTTTTTTTTTTTTTGAGTCAG